ATACTTGATAATTCGAATAGCTGAGTCTCCTTCTCCAAATCTGTTGATAGGCGTTAGACGGATCTCATATGGTTCTGGCTTCACAAGCTTAGTCAGATTGTTTGTAATTAGCTCTCCCCTTTTAATACTCCCATCCACTGAAATTTCAGTTTCCCACCAGCGCTGTTGCCCTGCCTGTCAAAAAAAAAATGATAAAATACATACAATACATTGATAAGTATCTGCAAAATATTTTATCAGCTTTCCAGCACTCAAAAGGCCAATGAACCAAACAGATGATCATTCAGGGTTGACACAAAGCATAGAAATCTAAATTGAATGTACCCCATAATACAGTAGATGCAGTCAAAACATTAATTTTAATAGAGAGATATATTTCCTAGTCAAAGTTTTAGGGCAGAATTGTCACAAGAATAAACAAAAGTGTTTATTAAAGGAGAACTATGGGGTCAGTGTTTTTCCCCATAGTTCTCCTTAGGGTAACGGGTGTTGCAGTTTCTCTGTAAATGCTTGGTGGGTTTCACCTCCTCCTTTTTTGACGACATCTAGTCCATTTACTGGTAAACTTTTTCCCAAGAGGTAATACCGCTTTTCTTTTATTTAAAGGAGAACTATGGGGAAAAACACTGCCCCCATAGTTCTCCTTTAAATAAAAGAAAAGCGGTATTACCTCTTGGGAAAAAGTTTACCAGTAAATGGACTAGATGTCGTCAAAAAAGGAGGAGGTGAAACCCACCAAGCATTTACAGAGAAACTGCAACACCCGTTACCCTAAGGAGACCTATGGGGAAAAACACTGCCCCCATAGTTCTCCTTTAAATAAAAGAAAAGCGGTATTACCTCTTGGGAAAAAGTTTACCAGTAAATGGACTAGATGTCGTCAAAAAAGGAGGAGGTGAAACCCACCAAGCATTTACAGAGAAACTGCAACACCCGTTACCCTAAGGAGACCTATGGGGAAAAACACTGCCCCCATAGTTCTCCTTTAAATTTGTGATATGGTGACATAAGAATTAGCATCTAAGTCTAACTTTGTGATTTTGACAGTCTGGTGCAGCCAACACATGTGCAGAAAACTTTACCAATAAAAAAAGGATTTCTAACTGTTGTTCCTGAAAGGGTATTAATGGTTTATGTCACTATTAAGCAAAACAATATCTCCTGCAAAACCTGGCCACTTGATAATTTGGGAACGGTTTCCTAAAATAAATCCTGCATGGAATTTTGTTTTTCAAGTGCCATCCCTACTTTACTGTCTCTCTAAAGCCTAAAAGAAAATGTACACCCTTACTGAATTACATTTATTTTAATACAGCACTGAGTATAGTAAATGATTGACATTTTTTTTTTACAAAACAAATACTTGTTTTAACTTTTTTCCATCCTTTGTTGCACCCTAGAAGTATAACTCCTGATCTCCTGCACTTTCTTTGAAACCACCTTATGTCTACTGGTTTCTTGTTATAAGGTGACAGTGATGGACAATACATGTGTAATGCGTGATGAAATGGCCACTTGTAGTTTTCATCAAAAGTTCTAGTGATGGCGCGACAATGCCAGAGCACAACATTAATACAGTGGCATTGCATTGGGGTTGGGAAGGGGTACTGCACTGCAGGGTCTGTAGAAGTGATTGTGTGGTCACTCCAGATCACTTCTATATAAAAGAGGAGAGGCTGTTGAAACAATTTTAAAACATGCTTGGGGATGCTATTGGAGCCGTGAGTTCGCTTTGACCCTCTATCAACTTTATAATATACATCTTGGTTGCCAGAATGTATTAGGTAAAGTAGATCTAAACTCAAGCACCCAAATCTCTTAACCTACTATGAAGTTCCTTATATAGGAACTTGATGTTAAAGAGTGACAATTGTGCTCCTGCGTTGTCACCCTGCCACATTTACCTTGAGACTGCAAACGGCCATACCAACACACATTGCCTAGGCATGGTCCATTATTGTCACCACCAGGAAGCTAGTCCAGGGCAATGATGTGCTGAGGCTGGAGGAGATCAGCAGTAATGTGATTGAAGAAAAGATGAAAAAAGTGAAAACAGAATTTTATGAAAAATAAAAAATGTCACCCATCTAATGTTTAGATCTACATTAAAGTGACACTAAACTCAGCAATTAAATTTTACAAATACATTTAAGTACCTCAACTATTAACAAACAAGTATCTTATTTGTGTATCACTCAGCTGTAGATCCTCCAATCATCTCTGAATTGGTGCTGACACTGTCCTTCCTTCTGGAGGGTGACTACTTTTGTTCCCCATGGTCCCTGTGTGAGAGACTGCAATCTCAATAAAAATTTGTAAACTAAACATGAGATTATCGTCCATCAAGGGAGTGAACTTGGAGCGGTGGCTACTTTACAACACACACAGGGACCACAATGGTCCCTGTGTGAGAGACTGCAATCTCAATAAAAATTTGTAAACTAAACATGAGATTATCGTCCATCAAGGGAGTGAACTTGGAGCGGTGGCTACTTTACAACACACACAGGCAAATGGGGAACAAAACTAGCCGCCCTCCAGAAGGAAGGACAGTGTCAGCACCAATTCAGAGATGATTTGAGGATCTACAGCCGAGTGATATACAAATAAGATACATTTTATTTAATGGTTAAGGTACCTGAATGTATTTTTTTAAATTTAACTGCTGAGTTTAGTGTCACTTTAAAGTGACATTAAAGTCAAATTCCCCTCTCCCCAATTCTGTGTTAAGGACTTACCTTAAATGATGCATCTTGATCCAATCATCTTCTTCATTCCAGTAGTTTTCAGGAGTCCCTCCAGCGCTGGTGCCGGTCTCTGATCCAGCGCTGACTGCTGTATCCCACGGTGTCCGTGCGCATACATTGACTTATCCTGTGTCTCCCCTCTTCTCTCATCCGAAAGTCTCTATTGCGCATGCACACTCCCCGTGATCCTTCACGGCCGCTCGAGAATCTTCCGATCTTCAGACGGGAGCAAGCAGCGGAGACCCGGTAACTAATTACCTATTAGGTAACTTTTTTAAATGTTTCTTTTATGTTTTTGCATATATCTACTGCTTGCTAGCAGTAGATATATGCAAAATAAAAAGAAGGCTTCATTTTACTTTAAGGACCAGGAAAAGTCTGGTATACATAAGTATTTCTATTGCTTCTGAATCATATATGTTAATAGTTTATAATTTAATTTGGACAAGCTGCAGAGAGTAGATATTCTTTAATATTCAATTGATTGCCTCTCAAAAATGCTGCCAATACATTGTCTAACACAATTACTGACAAATCTGCTTTCTGTTTGTCACCAGTCATATTGGGTATGGAGAGTGAATTAAAAAGGCATACGCAGTTTAATTTGAAAAGTTGTTTTTACTGCATCCTTGTTTTATATTATGCATTAATGGATTTCTCATAATGTATGGTAAGAGTGGAAAGTCCTAATTATTCCTGCGCAGTGTCCATATATTAACTGGAAATCTAAATTTAATTTCTTAAGCTTTTAAAATCCAATAATAGACAAGCGTAGAAGAACTTGTCGCATGTTGAATACATTTTGGACAGGAACCAACATTTTGATCTTGATTCTGTAACGGAAACAAAAAAATCTTGCATGCCGACAGAAAATCCATTTAGAGAATTATCATAAAACTTTCTCTGTAGATGGAAGTAAATTATTTTTAAAAATGCTAAAAACTTGTTTAACTTTAATTCTCATAAACTCTTTCCTCCTTTGTATTCAAATGGCTGTATTCTGGGATTCTGGTCAGTAGCAAAGGCTCCCCTACATTTTCTATATGGTGTATTACAGGCTATTCTATTCTTGAATTTAGTCCTCTTAGGCTGGCTATAGGCTGACTGAAGCACCCATAGAGCTCTGTCACTGCCTGATTCCCAGAAGCAGAGCTAGGTCTACACAAGGCGTATGACTGTATATGACCCTCCATATGTGCACTGGAACTAGCATGGAACTGGACCCTGAGATACCTAGCACAGGGTGGCTCTAAGAGTCATATGTACATGGAGAATTAAGGCTAAAGTCTGATCATTCCCCCTTAAAAAGGAAGAGCTAAGCAGATCTGTATCAGGAAATGTTCTGCTTCCACGAGCTTCTTGTCCATGCAATAGATTGCACAAAAATATCTTGGGTGTCTGGCTGCAAAGATCAGCTAATTTGCCAAAACTGGTCCTCCTGGATTCAGAATCCTAATTAAAATTTACATGACTTCTGTTTAGAGAATAAACAGCTCTGCAAAAATTTTTGTTCATACAGGAATTCTTATTAATATACGCATGTCCAAAACTTCTATGCAAAGTTTTGCATAGAATAAGGAAAAGGTTAGGACACCTCTCTATCTGTACTATTTGTGCCCCTGATAGGGGAATTTTCCCAACCTTTCTGTTGTGTCACCTGGACAGGAAATTTGAAAGAAATCTCCCCCTGTGGCAGACACAGTTAGCCACAAAAGCATTAAAGAGCTTCTAGCCCTTCCCCCAGTCTAAACAAACATAAATGGACGGATCTAAACTTAAAAGACCAACTCCAGGCTTTTTTTTTTTAAATGCCCTAAGCTGCTGTTAGAAAAAAACGATTCTGCCATACTCAACTTCAATATAGAGGTGTCCCTGACAGTACCTCTTCTTGGCCACAAGATATCCTCAGTCTGCTAGGTTGAATGACATTCACCATCATAAAGCCCAAAAGACTGAGTACTCTATTGTGAATGCAGGGCGACATAACCTGTCCCCTGAGGGGGCATTACATTGACACCCTTCATTCATCATCACCACAGCTTCTCTCTCTGCAGTTAGGACTGCCCAGCCCGGAGAAGATGATGAGGATGTTGTGGCTTCACGTGACTGGCCTGAAGACTTTAAAATCCTATCTGTGCTTAATACGGATTTGTGGAACAGAAGGATTCCTCTTATAATATCACTTTCCCTTACCAGAAAAGCCAAGCTTGTTTTAGCAGCTCTGCTGGACCATTGACAACATTCTATATTCAGCTTTTTGTTCTCTTTGTCCTTAAACATTGGTTAATTTGCTATTTATACACAGGATGAGCAAACCGATCCCCATCTGTATCTTTAATTTCATGCAGCAGGTTTAAAATGATAATAATTTACTCTTCAGCTATAAATAGTGCCTGTGTTGTTACAAACATGTTCTCTGCTATCTAG